ATGTAGATCAGTCTATAGTCTGGACTATAAATCAGTCTACAATCTGGACTATAAATCAGTCTACAGTCTGGACTATAAATCTGTCTACAGTCTGGACTATAAATCAGTTTATAGTCTTAACTATAGATCAATCTATAGTCTGGACTATAGATCAATCTATAGTCTGGACTATAGATCTGTCTATAGTCCTGACTATAGATCTATCTATAGTCCAGACTATAGATCTGTCTATAGTCCAGACTATAGATCTGTCTATAGTCCAGACTATAGATCTGTCTATAGTCCAGACTATAGATCTGTCTATAGTCCAGACTATAGATCTGTCTATAGTCCAGACTATAGATTAGCCAATAGTGTAAAATATAATTTATTCTGTAGTCTGAATCTTTAGCCTCGAGTATAAAGTCATATCCATAGGCGATATAGTTTCTAAGTATTACAATTTAAAATTTATAATATTTTTATTCCTTGAAAAATATTTCTATTTCATTCGGCATAAATAGTGTAAATTTACAACTTAAAATACTGATGTAATCTTTGTCGAAGAAGAAATGTTGAAGCACCTTATAAATAACAACCGTCAGATGTCTTTTAGTTGAAAGTGTTGCAAAATATGATTTTATTTTCAATATATGTTTCTGTGAGTTAAAACATTTGTGTGTGAAATTCTCTCAAATATCCTTGAAGGAAACATGAAATTGTCATTTGCTACTTAAAAACATCCTGTCTTTTCTTCTACATACTTTTTGCGTTACTTCTCTTACATTTATTCATTCTAGTGCGTTTTGTTGACAACATTTTCTACGTAACATCATACATTTTTTATAAACTTATACTACATAATATTACTAAAAGTAAAGTAACTTAAGTAAAATGTAAAAGGATGCTTTAAATGTAAATGTTTTTTTATGTGTATGTGTGTGCAACTATTCAATACATTGTTACGTATACGTTTACACTAACAGATACATTTAACCTAAAAAACAAAGAAACTTAATAAAAATGTTTTTTTTTCAGTTTTTTTTGGTGAAATCATTTTAAATCGTAAAACAACATAAAACTTTTAGCATCAACTAAAGAATGCAATTTTTTTAAGGGGTTCATTTTAATTTTCTTAATGATTTTATTCTACTGCCGTTGTCAGTTTGTTGCATGCAACATCATGTTTCAAGTATTTTTACTTAATTTGATATTTAGAGGGAGGGAAGGATGCCTAAAAAGCCAGATTGCAGAAACATGAGGGTGGTTCTAAAACTATAGGGTAAAATAATACTGTTAGCAACTGAATTCTATAATTTGATTCTCCCTAAGTTATAATTATCTAGTATGACTCAATGACTAGCAGCTAGAAAAAGATTAAATTATTTTAAAGTTCCAGTTGCAGTAGAAGTTCAGTTGAAGGAGCAGTGCATTTCTTTTACTCCTGCTATTTTTACGTTGTATGTAGTAGGTGGCTGCAGTTTGTATGTCAATTGCATGGAGTAGTTTGCGTTTTACATCAAATAAATTGCTTGCAGTTTTATTGTCATTTGTCTTGTGTTTCTTTTTCACCGACATCTTATCTGTGGTGCTTTCTTTGCTTCATTTTATTCCTTTTAAATGTTTTATTTTGCCGCTTTTCTTTTATTCATTTTAATTTTACTATACATGTGAAGGAGGGAGGAGTGGGGGTTTCTTCACGAGTTTGTCGTACTTCAATTCTACAAATTTGTAACTTTTTTTACACGTTTGTTCTTTCGGTGAAATGAAAGAAAGCCAATGGTTTCCTTTTATACTTTTGCCAATGCTATAGGGAATTAGAGTTCTTACTGGTATATCCTTTTCTACTTATGTGTCAAATTTGGTTTTTACTACATAAAGTTTGAAACTTTCATTGATTCTTACATGTTTGAAACATTTTTGATATAAATTAGTAAGATTCTCCGAGATGATCACTATAAATTGCCATATCTTTGATATTGAAAATTATCATTTGTAACCTATGGAACCTATTGAGCGACTTTAAAGCTTCCATATTACCGTTTATAGCTTTTTATCAGTACCTCTTTGATCCTTTTTTTTTAACTTTTATTATACAGCAACTTGTGTAAAAATTTTATTTTTTTCTTATATACACGAAATGATAAATGAAACTTTAGTGGCTTTTGACCCAGTTAATAAATTTTCTTTGTTTAAGTTTATGGAATTAAAAAACAAACTACATTTCAACGACCATCAAGCAAAAGCTAAAGAAACTAAAGCGACAAGCAATTAAAGTTTTTGTTGTATTTTTAAATAAAATAAATTTAATTAATTAAAATCAAACCATCCAAAGAACATAGAATAAATGTTTATTTAATGGGGTTTATTTATTAAAATATGAAGTATAAACTTTTTCAAAACTGGGTCAATAATTCAATTTAAATCAAAATATTTATATTTTATAAAATATTTAATATAAACATAAGTACTTAAGCAAAAAAACTAAATTAATTTATTTATGCCAAATATTTCTACTAACATTTACCTGTCATAAGAGAAAATTTAATTTCTAAAAGTGTCATAATTTTAAGTCACGTAAAAGTTGTTGGTTTTTTTTTTTGCACATGAGTCTGGTTTTACTTTAAAATATCATTTGTGCTAAAATGGTTATAATAATGTTTATGAAAAATATATTATTTGTTCTAATAGAACAACATTTGTTTTGTATGTATAAGTGAAATTCTATTGTTATTTTTTCTATATGGTATATAGGTTCATTTGTCTGTGTTTGTGTTTCTAATTTATTTGCATAATTAGATTTTAAATCCATCTGACGCTGGGCACATATACATACATATGCATGTGTGTACGTGTTTTAAAATATTTTGAATTAATATTATCAAAAAATAAGGCAGACATGTTTATATGATGTAGATTGAATTATATATTAACGAATAACAAACTTTGACCCGACACACAAACATAATATACACACAAACCCTACACAAACTTTACAAAGAAAACAACAACATTTGCCAGCTCTCACTTTAAAGTGTTCTCTTTAAGAGCATAATTGTTTTAATTACATATTTTCAAATTTCTTCACAGTTTGCTTTAAAAGCTTAAAGGTTCAATATCTTAAAAGCTTAACAGAAACAGCATTATTCTAATCTATAGAAATAAATCACTTTCCTTGCCAAAACTCCAATTAATTACTCTTCTCATAGCACTTAACTTCATCTTCCTGTTTTTTTCCTTATTTAGCTATTTTCAAGATAAAAGCTAAAAATATAAAACTTCTTATTGTTTTATCATTATGTGCATATTTCCATAAATTAACTTTATCGAAAAGTTTTTAATAATTATGTCATAAACACATCATTTGTAGAACACATGTAAAAGGATAATTTTGTTACATTAAACAGAAAAAAAGTTTTATTTTTCACAACTCAACTCATCTAAAGGAAATAAAACCAAATGAACATATTATCATGCCGAGACAAGAAGAGAAAAAACAAGTTATTGTCTTTGTTTTTATATTTCTTAACTTGAGAAAAAAACATTAATTATTATGGGAATTTGAAGAAATGTTCATATAGGAAATATAAGGAAATTTTAAGAGATATACATATATATTAAAAAAAAAATATTTTTTAACTCAAGAATAAGATTTTTCAATATGTATTTGGTACTTCATTTTCCCCTACACAGAGGGAAAAACCGGCATAAAAGTACCGAAATTGATACAATCCGTTGTCAAAAGTGAGCTTACCACTTTTGTTAACATTTACACAACGGATGTGTATACAAATTTAAATAACACCCAGTTATCATTTTGACAACCACCGTTTTTATTTTGACAACGCATCGTTGTCATTGAAACAACGCATTGTTGTCATTTCGATTACGCTTTGTGTCCTTTCGGTAATGCATCACTGTGATTTTGACAACGAATCGTTGTCATTTCGACAACGCAACGTTTTGTTTGACAACATAACGCTGTCACTTTGGTAACACATTTTTTATTTTTTTGTTGATTTGTTAACGTAGTGTCTTTGTCTACTTTGACAACGGAAGTTATTAAAAAAATTATAAACACTTTGCTGTCAATTTGGTACCAGGCGTGTATAATTTTAAAACGTCTTTTTTCCCTCTGTGTATTTAAGGACGTTTTTGTTCAAAAGAAAGCTTAGATGAGTAAAAATTAGAAAAAAATTATGAAAAATCTGATTTAATATGGTTCTACATCAGATTTTAAAATTATAAGATTTTCTTTTTATACCCTACACCACTTTAGTGCGGAGGGTATATTGGGTTTGTGCTGATGTTTGATGTTTCGTCGTATACCCACCTTAAAATATACCAATCAGTTAAGAATCGTTTTCTGAGTCGATTAAGCTATGTCCGTCCGTCTGGCTGGCTGGCTGTCCATGTGTGCAAGGTACAGGTCCAAATTTTTTGGCTCATAAAGATCGGGCCTCATTTGACCCTAGCTCCCATACAAAGCCCCCTTCAGAAAATTACTTCAATGCCCAAAATTCACTTATAAACACAAATATCGCAATGAAATTCAGCACAAATAAATATTAAATAAATAGAATATAAATATAAATACATTCTCAAAACTTTATCGGGTTTGGTCCATATATGCCCCTAGCCCCCCATATAAAGCCTCTTTCAGAAAATTAGTTCTTCATCTATAAATTGCTCAAATGTATAGGAAAAAGGTAATATTGAATATAAATGCTTTATTATGAAAAATAAATCACATTTAATATTCATAACTGGTGTAGGGTATCATATGGTCGGTCACGCCCGACTATACTTTCTTACTTGTTTTCTTTTAATTTCAACTCACACACCCTGACTCTACCAATTACAATTACAAAACAATGACATCATACATAATGTATGTCATAAGTTATGTGTATTTTTAAATAATCGCATATTATTAAAAAATATTACTTTTAGGTAATATTTTAAAATTAATTTTTTTTATTTCTTTTACAAAATTTTTTTTTAATTTTTTAAATTTTCAGATTCTGGTGGAGATATAAATTACCATGCAGATTAAAGAAAAAATAACCTTTGTGCATGAACCAGAACTGTAAGTAAATTTTTATATTTTTTTACTAATATTACTGAAAATTCTTTTGTCTTTGAATTTCTTTAAAATCTTTAAAACCGTTGAAATAATATAATAGTCTTTGAAAAATCGTTCATTTAAAATTTATTACCATTTCCTGAAAATTTATAGCAAAATTTTTTCTTAAATAAATTTTAATAAATTCTTTTGTTATTTGTTTAGTTTTTCGTAAACTAAAACAAAAAAAAAACTTATGTAAATCGAATTTTAATGACTTAAATAACATTTATCATTGTCGAAATGTTAAAAAAGATAGGGAAAGGAAAAGGATTTTATTTTTAGTAATAACAAGACAGGATAACAAGGTTAAATTAAGTTTTAGGACATTTAGACATATGATATTTATTCATTAATTAATTAAGCAAGTTAAATATCTATATAATTTGTTAATAAGAAAATTCCTTGATTAATAAAGTCAGACAAATTTTATAAATCTTGAAAACTGTAAAAGGGATCTTAAAAAGTTTCCTAGATTTTTTTTAAATTATGAACTTTCATTTTCATTTATTGTCATAACGGTTTATAAAGAAATTTTAATTATAGAAGAGAATTCCATTATTTTGTCTGCTTTTAGTTTTTAACCTTCATCATAGTAATAATTTTGCTTATTATGCATGCGAAAGTATTCATAACTTCGCTTTCTGCTACCTGTATGTATGGGACCAAATAACTTTTTACAATGTTTTTTGTAACTTATTTTAAAAGGTACAGTTTTTAAATACATTTTTTACTTTTATAAAAGAAAAAGTGTCCTGCAAAATCAGCATAATTTTTTCCATCGTATGTTGTTTTTTATAACAATACATTTGTTATTATATTCCCATTCCTTTTTATATTCACTATATTTTGTTATATCTATACGTTTCTCTTTCTTAGTATTTGGTGCTGCTGAGCTCTATGCTATTTTAGCATAAGTCTTTTTGTATTTATAAGCTGACAGCTGCTGTTGTTGGCTGGCTGCAATAGCAAATACTGTGAAAAAAAATAAGAATGCTACATCCTGTTTCAACGAATTTTCAATACCCTAAACTTTAAACTATTTACATATATATTTGTTAGACACTAGATTGATACCACAGATGATATTTTTAATTAATAGATCCGAAATTATTTAACTTACGTTTTGTACTCTGAACGTAAGAATGCTTATAAAGACTGCAAAAACATCTGAAATCTCAGATTTTTCTCAACGTTATTTAAGGATTGAAAAATGCCTGCATAACTACAAGTCCCATACACACTGACGTTAGTCGTGGAGTTTAAAAATTATGATACTTGTTGGTGTAAAAAACATCAAAAAGCATCATGCTTATGAATTTATTTAAATGTTTTAAAAGTATTTGTGCGTTGTTTTTTTTTTTTTCTTCTGTAAATTGTGCATTATAGGAATGAAACAGCAGTGCAGAAAATTTGCACATTACACCGTTGACAACAGAACAAGAACTGAACAAGAACTGAACTAGATATGAACTAGATATGAACTAGATATGAACTAGATATGAACTAGAACTGAACTAGAACTGAACTAGAACTGAACTAGAACTGAACTAGAACTGAACTAGAACTGAACTAGAACTGAACTAGAACTGAACTAGAACTGAAATAGAACTGAAATAGAACTGAAATAGAGCTGAACTAGAACTGAACTAGAAACTGAACTAGAACTGAACTAGAACTGAACTAGAACTGAACTAGAACTGAACTAGAACTGAACTAGAACTGAACTAGAACTGAACTAGAACTGAACTAGAACTGAACTAGAACTGAACTAGAACTGAACTAGAACTGAACTAGAACTGAACTAGAACTGAACTAGAACTGAACTAGAACTGAACTAGAACTGAACTAGAACTGAACTAGAACTGAACTAGAACTGAACTAGAACTGAACTAGAACTGAACTAGAACTGAACTAGAACTGAACTAGAACTGAACTAGAACTGAACTAGAACTGAACTAGAACTGAACTAGAACTGAACTAGAACTGAACTAGAACTGAACTAGAACTGAACTAGAACTGAACTAGAACTGAACTAGAACTGAACTAGAACTGAACTAGAACTGAACTAGAACTGAACTAGAACTGAACTAGAACTGAACTAGAACTAACTGGAACTAGAACTGAACTAGAACTGAACTAGAACTGAACTAGAACTGAACTAGAACTGAACTAGAACTGAACTAGAACTGAACTAGAACTGAACTAGAACTGAACTAGAACTGAACTAGAACTGAACTAGAACTGAACTAGAACTGAACTAGAACTGAACTAGAACTGAACTAGAACTGAACTAGAACTGAACTAGAACTGAACTAGAAGTGAACTAGAACTGAACTAGAACTGAACTAGAACTGAACTAGAACTGATCTAGAACTGAACTACAACTGAATTAGAACTGAACTACTTTTCTGTTTTCTCTTTCCTTGTTGCAAATTACTTGTAAATGGTGTTGTAAATTACAATTTTACTTATTTCTTTTTCATTGTTTCTTCATTTTACATTTGCTGTCTTTACTAATACAGCCATTGGATTACTGACAAAAAGTATGTTAGTGTTAGTAAGTGGTACGATTATATATGAGTTTGTATTTGTGTCTATATAAAGAAGTTTATATTTGGTTTTAGATTTGCTAACGTTCATACATAAATACATACACATATATTTTCAGCAGATTTCGTGGTTTAACTTCTGACAACAACGTTAAGTGCTTGATTCCATATTTAAAGTTGTTTTCCTAGTGTATTTTTGTGCTGGTCTTTGTATCTGTTTGTGTATGATTATTTTTACTTGATTTTATTTATTTCAGTTTTTCTGTTTTACTTTTTTTACAAAATGATTCAATTTCTGCATTTGTATGCTTAAAAGTTTTGTTCACATCCTTTTTGGTTTTATTCCTGGTACATTTGGTTGAGGTTTGTGTGTGTGTGTGTTTTGTTCATTGAGATTGTTTTAGCTTTTGTCAAATGATAAATAAATTAATGTTGACATTTTTCATCCGTTGTAGTCGTCGTCGTTGTTGTTTAAACGAAATAGAGACGGATGTCGTCTGCAGTTTTTTCGTTTACTTCACTGTCTTTCTAAAACGTTTTTTATATTCATTGTTCATCGTTAGTGTTTTTATTTAATTATAATTGTTGATGATATTTCTTTTTTGTTTTGTTTTTGTTTTTTACGTTTTATAATCTGAAGGAAAAAAGTAGAATTTTTTATACTCTGCAATCCTTAACCTTTTTTTTTGCGGCAAACACAATCGTTAAAACCCCGATTTCTTCTTGAGCTAAAGTAAAGAAACGATTCAATTAAAGGTTCTAATGGATGTGCAAAATATAGAGATTTGCAATGTTGTGAAGTATATTTTTTAACTCTCTTTCCTTAAAGGGTTAATCGATTATTAAATGAAACCAAAAGTAATTTGCTAAACCAGCAAATCTACAATATGATTTACTCATAAACTGTATTATCATCATGTCTGTTTTCATTCATCTCTAAATTGCTGTAAATTTTTGAAGATTGTTTAACTTTAATACAAATTTTCTACTTAATTTTAGTTGACAAAAATTATTAGTTTTCATAAAAATTTTTAAAAAATCAAAAAATTTTACAGTTTGTGCAAAACTTTATCGCTTGTCATCGTATTATCAAACATGTCAGCAAGCTTTTTATTTTCCGTTTTATTTTCTTATGCTCCCAAAATCACCATGACCTCTTCAAAACTAAAGTAGTAAAATTTCTCTATTCAATAGTGCACAAAGAAAAAGTGCTCGCACTCATAATAATTTTTTTTTTTGCTCTTGAGCATGTTTAAGAACTTGTTAGTGGAGGAAGATTGTACCAACCACAAGTTATAATCAAAATAAAATAAGAAAATTGAATTGCAGTTTCTTTTGTTATGGGAAAAAATTAAAAAAAAGTAAGAACTGTATGCATACTATAAACCAAAAAAGATAAATTTGGCTGCCAGCCCAATTTAATAGTTTTTGAATATCATCTTGCAGTTTTTCTTCTTTTTCAGAGTAGTCAAGTTGAAGAAAAACTTGTTGTTGATAAATAATCGTTTGCAATAAGTCAAAAACTTAAAAGACATATAAATTTTTTAATATTTTTAAAATATCATGATATTGACAATAACACAGAAAAACTAAATGTGTATAAAGAGAAGGGACGAATTCTTGGCATGTGACTCTAAGTGAGGGTGAAGATATTTAGAAAATAAAACTATTTTAGAATAAGAAACTGGGAGGTTAAAGGTGAAGGAACTTGGATTTATCTTAATAACTGAGTATGAATTTATGTACATATGTACATATTATACGTTAATTGATTTATTAATAGACTAGACTATAGACTAGACTATAGACTAGACTATAGACTAGACTATAGACTAGACTATAGACTAGACTATAGACTAGACTATAGACTAGACTATAGACTAGACTATAGACTAGACCATAGACTAGACTATAGACTGGACTATATACTAGACTATAGACTAGACTATAGACTAGACTATAGACTAGACTATAGACTAGACTATAGACTAGACTATAGACTAGACTATAGACTAGATTATATACTAGACTATAGACTAGACTATAGACTAGACTATAGACTAGACTATAGACTAGACTATAGACTAGATTATAGACTAGACTATAGACTAGACTAGACTAGACTATAGACTAGACTATAGACTAGACTATAGACTAGACTATATACTAGACTATAGACTTGACTATAGACTAGACTATAGACTAGACTATTGGCTAGACTATAGACTAGACTATAGACTAGACTATAGACTAGACTATAGACTAGACTATAGGCTAGACTATAGACTAGACTATAGACTAGATTATAGACTAGACTATAGACTAGACTATAGACTAGACTATAGACTAGACTATAGACTAGACTATAGACTAGACTATAGACTAGACTATAGACTAGACTATAGACTAGAC